GGAGTTCAGAGAAGCGAAAAGGGACCAGGAGGGTCTGTCTGCTGACTGGCTGTGACCCCCGCTTTCTCCAGAGAGGGTAAAAGACAGGTAGGACCAGCAACCCCGAGGCGGGCCCCCAGCCAGCCCTGGGGTCCAGGGCTGGGTCTCCCCTTCCCTCACACGGCCCGACATCCTGATGCCCCAGGCGGCCTCCCACACTGGCCTCGGGCGGGCATCTGTCCGCTCCCGAGGGGGCAGTCTGGACACCAGGTGGCCCTGATGGATGCCCCAGTGTGTCCACTGCACCAGGGCAGGAGCAAGCTGGAGCCCACGCTGGGTCTGAGCCGTGGGGACAGTCCCGACAGTGAGGACCCTGGAGCTGAGGCAGGAATAGGTCAGGAGAATGGGTCGTGCTGGGGGCAAGCAGGGGGGCCAGGAGGACGGGTTGCCTCCCCCCCTCCACTGGGGGTCTCCCGGCTCCAAGGCAGCATGCAGGGGCAGGGCAGGGCCTGTAGGGCTTCCCAGAGCCTTCTAGAGTTTGGAGGGACAGCACTGGAAAGGACAATGCGGGAGAGGCCGGAGGAAGAGACAGGACAAGCCAAGGTCACACAGCAGGTGGCCAGGGCATCACCTCCTAGGCCTGCTCCTCTCCTCGGCCGGGACCCCCAGGTTTCCTCCGCCAGGGAATGCAGCCCCACAGCCATGCTCCCTCCGGCCTGGGGCCTGGCAGTGTGTGTGTGGGCGGGGGGGAAACCTGCTGTCTCCTGGACACCTCAAGGCCAGACCACTGAGCCCCGAGCCGTCACCGCCCCCTGCAGGGCGTCCCCTTGTGCTTTGCGGCCAAGCTGAGATCAGGAGAGGTGGAAAGAGCTAGAAAGATCTGGAAGTAAATAAGCAGGGAGAGCAGGTGTGAGCACGTGAGGGCCAGGTGCTGTGGGGAGACCTGTGTACCCAGGAGGGGGACAGACAGGCCCGGAGGGGACTTCCCTCGGACGTTCTCAGCCGGCCACGGGGCCTGTAAGACCCCATCGGCCCGCTGCCAGCACCCCTGCCCCTCTCACTGCTGCCGGTGTGCAGAAGGGCTGGACAGAACATCCTGAGATCCCCAAAGCAAGTTCTCAGTAAGTCCACACTGCACGAGACACGTTTCTCAGAGCTTTATTGAGCTTCTCCCGGGGGCCGGGTTCAGCACACACTGCAGCTGGCCCGGGAGGTGCTGGGCCGGGCAGTGGACACAGGGCCCGGTGGCAAAACCCACCCCGGCTGAGGCGGTGGACTCACAGGAGGGCAGGGGGGCGGGGAGGAAGGCTCAGCTCCCTGAAGTGGCCGGGCAGGCTGCGCCGGGGTGGAGGTGCAGGCACTGGAGGAGGAGGAAGGAGAGCCATGGGGGAGGGAGAAGGTGAGGGAACAGCGTGCGTGGAGGCCCAGAGCATCCGTCAGGAGGCCAGTGCAGGGGAGGCCAGGATAGGGTCAGTGACCGTGGAGGGCTGGAGCCCTGGCAGCCAGGTCAGGGTGAGCCGGCCAAGGGCGAGGCCCGCTCTCACCTGCAGCTCAGGCTGGGCCCGCTCCTCCGAGAAGCCTCAGGAGACCCTCCCTGCCCCACGGAAGTGCCATCATCAGCCACTCTGGGTGCTGGGAGTCGCTCTACTGGGAGGGAGGCAGTGACTGCACCCACCCCACACCCGCCTGCCGAGCCCCACACAGGGCAGTGTGGGGCCCCACCCCACCCTGGGAACAGCCCCGCCCCACCCCATTTCACAGGGAGATAGCCCCCTGAGGCTAGTTCGGGAGGTGGGGAGCCTACCTGAAGCCCAGCACTCCCCTGGCCCCAGCCCCTTGCCAAGTTGCTCCCGGACTCCACGCAAACAGAGCCAGTTCAACTTGTCCCTTCTGGTCTCCCCCTACCCGCCCCATCTGGAGCTGTGACAGCAGGGGAGGCAGGCCTAGCCAGTCCCCAGAGGCCGGGTGGGGGGTGGCAGGGGGAGCCCCAGCTCCAACACTGGACCCCCCAGGACAAAGCCTGCCAGGCCCACTGGGGCCAGTCCTATGCAAGAAGTCAGATGCTCCCCCAAGCCCCAGGTGGGTTCACTGCTGAACCCCGGGACAGAATGGGCAGCTGGTAGGAAGGGCCAGGGCTAAGGTGAGCTGGGGTGCTGTCCTGGGCTGGGGGCAAGGTGAGGCAGGGGCTGCTTGGGGAGGAAAGAGGCTTTGTCAAGGGGGAGTGGGGGTGCGAGGAAAGTACTGGAGGAAGTCACCAAGCTGGGATCCAAGTCCCAGAGGCCAAAGGCCAGCACCACCTGGACCCTGGGTCTGTCCTCACCTGCACGAGGGGCTATGGGAGCCAGACAGACCTGCCCCGTGAGTTCTGGAGCCCCACAGTGTGGGGTGCAGCCTGTTGGCAGGAGGAACAGAGCAGGTCCCCCCGGGCTGCTCCCCTGAGCCTCCCTGGGGCTGCAGGGTGTGTGCCCAGGCTGCTGGCTGGGCTGGGCTGGCTGCGCCACACAGGGGCCCAGAGGGGACAGTCTCACATTTGCCCCAGACCCTTTCTCCCACAGCACCCGGGGCTCTCCCAGCCCAAGGTAGCTTTTCATTTTCCGAAACCAAATGTGGAAGTGGGTGGGGGAACTGCACCATGGCCCTGTCCCAGCTCTTGGGTGGGCGGGGGCAGGACAGGTCCTTGATTGGCACCCCCAGGAAATCGAGGAATCGGGGTTTGAGAGTTTACCCAGCCAAAGTGGGGACCCCTCTTGCCTCTGCCCGGGAAGCAGTAACCCCCAGCCCTCAGTGCTCTCAAGAGACTTGCCAAGTAGCTTCCTCTCCCTATTATCCGCACCTCGCCCCCTGTGGGGGAGGGAGGACCGGAAAGGCAAGGAAGGGAAAGGACCTGCTGCAGCAGAGATGCCCTGTGGGAAGGGGACAGGCCAACAGGAAACCGCCCAGCTCGCCCCCAACCCTGCGCTGCCACAGCCCCAGCCAGCGGCGGGGGCTCAGGAGAGTTCCCCAACCCACCGGGGTGACCCCTGCCGGGCTGCTGAGGGGCCCCGGACTCTCTGTGACCAGTGGAGGGCCAGGCCGGCTTCCCTCTGGGTGGGAAGTTTCTGGGCTGTGCGGCCCCTAACGCCCCTGCCCCAGGCCGCAGAGAAATTGTCTGGCTGGGGTGAGAGAGAAAGGGGATACATTCGCGCCCCCCCCCCGCCTTCCCCTCAGGGTCTTGTCCTGCTGGAGCCACAGGGCCAACCGCAAGCTCGCGGGGCAGAGGATCCCGCCAAGGCCACGGAAACCGCAGGGAGAGCCTCCGCACCTGGGTCCAGGCGATCCGGCCCCGCACCCGCTGGGTTCCGCTGAGTCCCGGGTAGGGGCTCCATGCCCCGCGGTTAACTTCGGACTTGGTTCCTGCCGCCGCGAGCGACTTGCCCTCGCCCTCTCGGCCCAACAAGCTCCCTCCACGGCCCCGGTGCAAGCCAGGTCTCCGTCCTGGGAAGAAGTTAGGCGGCTGGTCCCAGGCGAGAGACACACGGGTCGCAGGCGGCGGTGGCTGAGGACAAGGACTCAGCCACTGCCACCCCAGAGAAGTCCCTGCTGCCGCCAGGGCGTCCCGCGCGGCTGGAGTCTCCAGACCCGGTACAAATCACCCGCGACCCGGCGCAGGCAGGCCGAGAGGAAGCGGGACTTGCTCCCAGCTTCGGGGACCCCAGGTCAAGGCACTTCCCGGCCCCGCCGCCCCTGAGACCAAGTCGCCAACCCTGCGCCGCGCCCAGGGAGCCCTCAGAGGGACGTGGCGGCCAGGCCGAGCAGGACCCCACAGAGTTGGAGAGTTGCCCCGCACCCCTAAAACCTCAGCACATTCCCGGTTGAGAGTACGCACTTTCCGCGTCCCGGCGCCTCCTCCGTGAGTCGAGCCGCAGCGCTGGCGGTCGGCGAAAGTGGCTCAGCTCGGGCGCTCCAGTCTCGACGTTCCCGGGGCAGAGAGCAACGTCCGGGGACGCACGGGACGGGTGCGCCCGGCAGCCGGGGCTGCGCCGGGCGAGGCGAGCGGCGAGAGGGGAGCGCTCCGGCGTTCAGGCAACAGCTACCCCTAGTGGGAGAGCCGCCGGGGCCGCCGCCGCCCTGCGCCCATGCCCTGCGCCCCGCGCCCGCCGCGCCCCGCGCCCGAAGCGCTCCGGGGTTGGCTATGCTCAGGGACAGCGCTGCTTTCCCCAGCCCTCCTGTCTCTGGCGCCCGGCGCTCACAGCCCGCGGGCGCTGCCCTCCGCACCTTCCCGCTGCGCCCTAGGGCCGCTGACCCGAGAACAACAGCGCCCGGCAGGGACGCGATGGGACGGGGCGGGCGGGCGCTGCCGGCGCCGCGGCCGCGCGCGGCCGCTTCGGGCAGCGGCGGGGGGCGCGGAGCGCGGTGTGCGTGGCGGGGCCGTGCGGGGGGTGGCCGTGTGCGAGGCGCGAGTGTGAGCGCGCGCGGGAGACGAGCGGGCGAGCGGGCTCCAGCAGGCGAGCGGCGCCCGCGGGCGAACGGGGAAGACAGCGGGGACCCAAAGTTGCCTCCTCGCGGCCCCGCTCCCCTGGCGGGGCGGGAGACGCGACCAGAGAAGCGGCGGCCGCGGACACCGGCTCCGGCAGCACCTGGGCAGCGGAACCGTAAGAGCATCAGCGGCGGGGGCGGCGTTGGCGGCGGCGGCGCGCGGGAAGCGAACCGAAGCTCCGGCGCGGCTCTGAGAGCGCTGGAGAGCTCCGCTCAGGTGCGCAACGAGAGGGGCGCGGGCTCGGTCCAGGCTGCAGGGACCGCAGCCGCGCCGGCGCTGGCACTAACTGGAGGACTTTCACCGCGGACGCCTGGGTCCCTGGGCCAGCTCGCCGTCCCGGGAGGCATCCTCCGAGGGGTCCCCCGCCCCGGAGAGCCGGCTCGGCAGTCCGGCCCAGCGCCTGGACGCCCCGCCTTCCAGCCTCCAGCGCCCGCCCCAGGCCCGATTTCTAAGGCATTGGCCGCGGTGCTGGGGCATCTCCGGGCTCAAGTTGCAAGGGGGCGGGCCCCACAGGAGGAGGAGTCTCCCGCCAAGTGAAGCTTCAGCTATAAATTGAGCTCCCTGCACCGTTTCCGCCAGATGCCTGGCCAGGCCGCCCCGCCGCTGGTGGGGGAAGAGGGTGGAGGGGCCCAGGGGGCCAGGGGGGCCACGGCCACCATGCTCCGCTCCCTCTTGCTTCACTCCCTGAGGCTCTGCGCCCAGACGGCCTCGTGCCTCGTGCTCTTCCCGCGCTTCCTCGGGACGGCCTTCACGCTCTGGCTGCTCGACTTCCTGTGCATTCGCAAGCATTTTCTGGGTCGTAGGCGCCGGGGTGAGCCCGAACCTGAAGTAGAGCTCAACAGTGATGGTGAGGAGGTGCCCCCCGACGACCCACCCATCTGCGTGTCCGACGACAACCGCCTGTGCACCCTGGCGTCGCTGAAGGCGGTGTGGCACGGCCAGAAGTTGGATTTCTTCAAGCAGGCGCACGAGGGCCGCCCGGCGCCCAACTCCCAAGTGGTCCTGCCCGAGGGCTTCCAGTACCAGCACATCCTCGATTTCGCGCAGGGAAACCGCCCGCTGGTGCTCAATTTCGGCAGCTGCACCTGACCACCGTTCATGGCGCGCGTGAGCGCCTTCCAGCGCCTGGTCACCAAGTACCAGCGTGACGTGGACTTTCTCATCATCTACATCGAGGAGGCACACCCTTCCGACGGCTGGGTCACCACTGACACTCCCTACAGCATCCCACAGCACCGGAGTCTGGAAGACCGGGTCCTCGCGGCTCGCGTGCTGCAGCAAAGCGTGCCGGGCTGCACGCTGGTCCTCGACACCATGGCCAACTCCAGCAGCTCGGCCTATGGCGCCTACTTCGAGCGCCTCTACGTCATCCAGAGCGGCATCGTCGTGTACCAGGGCGGCCGTGGTCCTGACGGCTACCAGGTCTCCGAGCTGCGTGCCTGGCTGGAGCGCTACGACCAGCAACTGCACAGCGCTCTGCCCGGTCCCGTGTAGGCAACCAGCGGGCCAGGGGCCACACGGGGTGGGCCCTGCCTTCGAGTTCTCGAAGACCACGTGCCAGCACTCCAAGCGAAGTCAGGTTTGGCGAGGGCCCAGTGATACAGCTGTGCTGAGCCACGCCCTGCAGGCTGGGTCTGCACCCTCAGCAGAGCCACCTGAAGGCTCTCCCCCCCCCCGCACCCCCTACTCTGCTTCTGTGACTGTCCCTTACCTGCACCTGCCTGGCTGTCTCTGAATCCCTCCCAAGTGTGCGTGCTGAGCCACCCTTCGTCTGTACGCCTGTGGACTTGTCCTGTAGAAGTTTCTGCGGTGTTCTCGCACACCTCCTCCCCAGAGAGAAGAGCCAGCACCTCTAGCCAGGCACAACAGCCCCCCCCAAAAGAGACTGGGGCTGCACCCTTGCACCCTGAGCTCAGCTGGGCGCCAGCTCTGCCCTGCAGCTCACCCTAGTTGCCTGGCACCCACACCTGTCGCGCTCTGCTCGGGCATGCTCTGCCGCTTTGTGTTTGTGTCTTGTCCCTGAGGTGGGTGGGGGGGGGCTTGGGATGGGGAAGGGTGGGCAGGGTCGTTTCCCCCTCCTTATTTTGGGTGCTCTGGAGCCCCACTGCTGATGACGAGCCGTCTCTAACTGGTCTTGACCACGAGCTGCTTCCGAATTGCAGGGGGCTCACAGCAGAACCTGAAAACAGCGGGGGGGAAGTGCTCTGGGTTTCCATGGGGAAACCGCCATAAACTGGGTGGGGAAGGGGGGTTGGGGACTGCCTCCGGGCCGGAGGATGGCTCACGAGGCACTAGTGAGGTGGTCCCTTTGCCCAAATGACGAAGAAGAGGCTAGGACTCCCAGGAAACTGGGTTTGGGTGGCTGAGTGGGGGGCAGGAGTGGGGGGAAAGAGCTTGGGGACCCCAAGTGAGGGGCTGTCTAGGCAGCACTGCGGATTGCAGGACCTGGAAGTGGGGGCCCCTGACTTGAAGGACATTTGTTGAGTGTTTTGCTGGAAATATTCCCTGTATATAAACTTCTTTCATGTTACAATAATAAAGGCTTGAATTAAACTGCCTTCGGGTTGCCTTCGGTTCCTTTATTTTTCCTCCCCCCTGAACAGCGGTGGGAATTAGACACAAATCTCTCCCTCGAGTCCCCATAGTGACCCCAGGGGGGGAGGGTGGCTGGAAGGAGCCAGGCAGGCAGGGGACGGCGGGGGGGGGGGGGGGGGGGAATTATGGGGGGAGGGCGCTGGTGGCGGGCGGGGGGCTGCTGGGGGGGACCTAAAGAGAAAGGGTCTGCGGCTGCGCCCGGGGCGCGTGCCCGTGCACGCACGTACTGGGGTGGAGAACTTGGGGTCCAGAGAAGAGCGAAGAAGCAGAGCTGGGCGGGGTCCTGGAGGGACGCGGGAGAAACAGAGAAACATGGGGGTCCTCACTTGCCGCAGCGGGCGCGCGCGCGCACGCAGACACACATGCGCGCACACACACAGCTGCCCCTGCAGGAGCGCGTCTAACTTCTCCCGGCGTCCCACTGTTCGGGGAGGGAGGGCAGCGTGGAGGGCAATGGGCGCTTTGGACCAGGTAGGGCCGGACTCCCGGCTACGCGGGCGCCTCCGCACACCTGGCTCCTCCGTAGCCCCGCTCCCAGCACCTAGCTGCTCCCTTAGCCGCTTTCCGCACCTGCATAATTGTCCCTCCACACCCCTCCCATCCCCGCGGGGCTGCTGGGGTCCGCGGAAGTGCGGACTAGCCAGCTCCCGGAGGCGGAGGGAAAGGTGACGGGGGCGGGAGCGTGGCTGTGCAGCGCCATCACAGCCGCAGCACCTACTGCGGGAGGGGGTGGCGCGGAGGGCACCCCCTCTCGGGGGCCCTCCTTCTCCTGCCCCCCTCAGCTTCCCCAAGTTCGAGGCAAACCACACCATCCCCAAAGCCCTGGGAGGCGGAGGAGAACGAGGAGGATGAGCGGAGAGAGGCCAGAAAGGGGGGGGGGGGGGTGGCCGTTTCGGGGCCGGGGGCTGCAGAGGAGGGGGTCGCGGCGTTTGGCACAAATCCCCACCATTGTCAAGGCCAGGCGCCCCTACGCAAACCCCCCTCGTCCTCTCCCCTGCTGCTCCCTAGGTGGGGGGTCGCCGGGACCCAGGGGTTAACTCGGCCTCCACCTCCCTCTGCGAGCCACTCCTGGAGAGCAGGAGGTGGGGCGGGAGGAGACAGGAGAGAGCGTCCAGACCGGAGTCCCGGGTCCGGAGCAGGGGCACTGGGGCAGCCGAACTGCCCGGGCCGGGGCCGTCCCGGTGGGGGGGAAGGGAGGGGCAGTGTCCGTGGGCGCCTGGGTGTGAGCGCCCGTGCACACGGGAGGGGTCTGCGCGGGCGAGCAGAGGCGCAGCAGGGGGAGGGGAGAGAACAGACCCTGCACCACCCAGGCCGCCCTCCACTCGGCGCCCAGCCCCCACGCCGCTCCTCCGTGACAACTTTTTGAAACTGATACCCTGGGCTGGGGGGGAATTTTTTTTTCTTTTTCCTTTTTTTCTTCTTTAAAAGTATTTAAATTGAAAAATAACTTTTAAGAAAAAAATGGCACAGATGGTATTTCTGCATCTTTTCCCTTCCCCCTCCTCTGGAGCGCTGCTTCTTACCCCAAACCCCCAGGAAGAATATGAAGCAAGCGGCGGGGACCCGCTGATCTCTGGGGAGGGTCCACCCCAGCGCTGCCCGCGCTGGCCTGGGTAGGAGTTTTCGGGGAAGAGAGGAAGCGGAAGGCGTTTCGGGACAGTCAGGGGCCGCCACGGGGCCCCTCTGCGCGCTCAGGCGCTCCCTGGACCGGCCGGCTTCTTGGGGGCCCAGTTGGACCGGCTGAGCAACCTCCCCTCCCAACGAAGCTGCGCCCTCCGGCCTACCCCGGCTCCGGGACCGCAACTCCGAGCGCCTGGCGCTGGGATCCGCGGCCCCTGCCACGACGGAGGCGCCCGCCGCCCCAGGGGCGTTCTGGCACCCCGCGACTACCTTCACCACCTTTTCCCTCTCCCAGCCTCCCCTTCATCTTTCTGGTTCTTTCTCTCTTCCTTTCCTCTCCTTCTTTTCTTCCTTTCCTTTCTTTGTCTCTCTTTTCCTTTAACATCTCCCCTCCTTATACAAACAATGCGCGCTCATTGTCCTAATCACAGAAAAGTCAGTCGGGAGAAGAAAATAAAACCAACTCGAGGCGGCCTCCCTCTGTGCGCTTTCAGACTTGCCTCTTCCCAGTCCCCCGCACTTGTAAAGACATATTTTTTAAAAACAGGAGAGGGATTAGCTCTTCGAAACCTGAGGTTAATTTTTGACTCCTCTACCCTGCTTTCCAAGGCTTGAGCGGCGCCAAGGTTGTGCGCGCGCCCGGAGTGAGGGCGGTTCCCCTGCGGAAAGGACCCGGGAACAGACTGCGCCCGGCCGGCCGCGTCCTGGCCGCCCCCCCCCCCCGGTGCTGCTGGCTCCCTGGTTGAGGTGAAATGCTTATGTCCAGGCAGGTGCTCGCCTTTGAAGATGTCTGCTCTGTCCTCTTTCGCTAAACTACCTTCCAGAAACTCTATTTGATTTTATTGTTTTCCATTTTCCCAGTGCGCCCTATTTATAAGTGAAAATGGGAAGGGAATACACAAATCCATGCTCCGTAGTAAATTTTAAATACAGGAGAACACGGAGCAGCAAATGCCAGCCTTGCTGAGAGCAGGATTTTTCAAACTGCAAGTGGGGACCCAGCAGAGCCATGAAATCCACGTCGCGGACCTTTCTGCTTTAGCACCTGGACAGAAAAAGAATAGACTTGACACAGACACCATGCACATTTCGTAGCTTTGGAAACTTTTGTTTCAAATGTGTGCCTGCGCCCCACAGGTGGCCGATGGGAGATGTATTTCTCCTGAGGCATCAAATGTGTTTGGCAATGTTCAAAAGCCACCACCCTGGCAAGTTGCCGGTCCCAGAAGCCCCTGTGAATGTTTCCTTCAGGCTGTACTGCTCCAACCCGCTGGCATCCTCGGAGACGGTTCCCGCATCAGGATCGTGCAGCACAGTGCTCAGTGGTCGCCCCAGCCGCCTTGCACCTTGCTCGGGCCATTCCCCCTCCCGGCACCCTTTCCCCATCCATGCATCTGGACGGAGCTGGTCTGTGCCCACAGGATAACTTGTGCCGGGCACCGTCCAGATGCATGGGACAGCTGCACTTGCAGGGGACAGCTGGCATCTCTGTCTTGGCCTCAGCAGCTGTCCCCTAGGTACTTACCTGAAGGAAATAATGAAAATACCAGCCAAAAGGGCAAGTTGGTTCCAGGAGGTTCACGGCCTCCCCTTTGCAGTATTCAGACGTCCATCTGCAGGATAATGTCCCAAACCATGAGACTCCTCACAGGTGGAGCAGTGAGAAGTGACATCTGTGTGCTTGGCCTGGGCCCGGCGCTCGGCAAAGCACTTCGTGAAAAGCATTTGGTTTGGTAGTCCACACACCCAGCCCGTAGGAATATGGCCATGAGCCCGCTCCACTGAGGCAGAGGCCACAAGGCTTGACGTGGCTGGAGTGGCTGGACCGAGGGGTCTCGGCTGAATCGCGTCCTCCTCCTGAATCCCGTCCTCCTCCGAAATCTGTGTGTGGAACTCCTGACCCCTGCCACCTGAGACTGTGCCCTTATTTGGAGATGGGGTCTTTGAAGAAGTAGTTAGGTTAGGATGAGGACACTGGCCTGGGCCCTAAGCCAATAGGATCGGTGCCCTTATAGGAAGAAGAGATTGGGACCCAGAGATGCACAAAGAGGCTACCAGGTAAAGGCACAGGACAGCGGTGGCCACCTGCAGGCCCAAGGCAGAGGCCTCGGGAGAAACCAGCCTCCAGAACTGTCAGAAGGTCATTTTCTGTTGCTCAAGACCCCCCCCCACCCTGCCCACCCTCCAGCGCCCCAGTCTCTGCAGGGCTTGGTTAGGGCAGCCGAGCAAACCGATACACGAGGTCACACTCTAGACTCGACTTGGAGCGCAGGCCTCTGCGACCCCAGCTGTGGGAGTTCACTTCAGGCCACGCCGCACTCCGCCCGCCCACCTGGGCTCCGAGCAAACGCAGCTCCCAGGACAGCGCGTCTGAGCCGGGCGGTGTGTGTGCAAGCTCTCCCCGGGCGTCTGCAGGGGCACAGGCACGCAGCTCCAGAAACGTCTCCCCGGGACTCGCAGGAGCTGTCTCTGTGTGGGTGGATTCGCGTGTTTTCTTACTTGCTCCTCGGTGCTCGTCTGGAGCCTGTGATTTTTCTGTAGTGAACACGTATTGCTCTTATGACAGAAAAATAAAATCAAAAAGCAGCAAAAACAAAGGCTGCGGCGAGTAGGAACCCGGAGGTGGGGAGACCAGGGCAGACCGCGGGTCTGCCAGAGGTGGGGGACTCTGGACCCGGGCCTGTGTCAGAGGCGGTGCTGAGATGAGGGACATTTGGGAGGGGAAAGGGGGCAGGGCCGCTGAGTAAAATACAGGACACTAGTTAGATACGAATTTCAGACAAGCAACAACAGTCTTTTAGCATAAGCACGTCCAAATACCTCATGGATAGCTTCACGCATATACCAAAACTCGTATTTGCTGCTTACCTGAAATTCATTTTTAACTGGACAGCCTGGGTCGGTTGCTGGTTTTGCTAAATTTGGCAACCCCAAGTGGCGGGGGTCAGGGGGCAACAATACAGTCTCTCCAAGGCCTGGGAATGGGCAGCTTTGCAGCTCAAGGGACCACAGCTGGACGGGGGACCCCTAGTCTCTAAGGTCTTCGGTTCCGTCTTCCAGGCACAGCTGGGTCCTGTGTGGGACAGAGGCCCCTGACTCTCCAGCGCCTGTGCCTGGGGACCTGGAGCGGCACCCGCAGCCCCACAGCTGGCAGGGCCCCCCGTGCAGGATGGAAGCGCAGGGCCGTGTTCGAAAAGCAGGGGCCAAGGGCCAGTGAGGCAGCAAATTTAAAGCTTTTCCCCTCTCCTCTGTGGCACCGCAACTTGCCATGGTTTTATTTGCTATTTTAACACCATCATAAATAAAGAAAAAAATTAATATGTAAAATTATGCATTA